CAGAAAACACTGCTTCCTTGCTTACCATATTAGTTAGCGCTGAAAAGAAACCACTTTGGTGCTCCTCTTCCTTATCTTTGTATTGCCTAAACAAAGGAATAAGGATGAAGCGTCAGGGTTAGAAACAGAACTAGAGTTAATCCCTGTGAGACAGTCTTATTGATAAGGATACAGGATGAAGAAAGCTTCAACATTCACAAGCCCTTTTCAAGAACTCACAATGGGAGATGCAAAGCATACTAAAATATTTGTAAATTGTGTAGAGCTGAAGTGGGCTTGCTGAAAGACATGAGACTGAACAATGCCTGAGCTGTTATAGAAGACACACTCAGTCTGGGCTAACGTTGAAGGAAAGGGACCAAGTGACAGGAAATTCTGTCCTGCACTGGCAAAACGGTAATGAACCACACGAACACATCCAATCAGTAACCACAGAGCAGATTCATTTCAATCATCATCTGCTACAGACTAAACCAGAGTCAATCACCCTATGGCCAGCAGAAATCACAAGGATCATTATGGTTCATGGCCTGATCCCATGTCCCTGGAGTAAGTGAAGGGACTGGAACCGGAGTAAGTGAAGCCAACTAATAGGTAGGGTACCTCAGATTTAAGCTAAGTTGCTTCATTTGGCATTCAAATGGACTAGCAAAGCTCACATGGCCATTTATTGTGTCTTTCATACAGGAATCTGATCATACACAATCCAACATGCAAAGAAAACAAATCTAAATTTTTTGGGAAGGGGGAAAGAAAGAGTTAGGTAAAACAGGCCATAGTCTGAGACAGCTTTTGTCAGAATGAAGATGTGTGGATGAGGTGGTTTTCTGCTTCACTCTAATAATTTACTCTGTTAAATACATTTACATGATTTTCTGATCTTGCAAGTAATCTGCATACCTATAATAGCAGACATTCAAAGAATAAAAATATTTTCCTGGATGCTTTGAGAATCCTACTGCACAAAAAAAAAAAGTCTTAGGTTGCTCAGGTGAAATTCCTGTAAGTTTCCTAGTTTTTCTGAAGCACTTTCCTCTTAGGAAAATTTAGACATTTTGTGCTGTTGCTCAGGAAGCAGAGGCTGGGAACATGCTACCCCTACTGCTGGGTTTCTGGCTCTTTCTTTAGAAGCAGTTAATGATTTTCACCATTTCCAAGAGCATACATCCCCTAATCATCTCTGATCTGGCATGTCGATAGTCCTGGATACATTTGTTTGTTTTAGATGCTGTTTCAGTTAAATCAATTTTCTAACAGAGAAGTACTCAGCAAATCATTTATCTTTTCACTTGGGACTAAGATTTTACACCAGGTTCATACGGAGGTAAAATCCATGATAGTAAAAACATACAACAGATATCTTTCTCCACAGAAAGATCTCTCCTGAAGCACATCAGCACAGCTGGTACAGATGTATTTACACTTGCAACAACAGCAAGAACTGAGACAAAGTACCTCAAAGTGTAAGACTATTCCTTGCCTCTCCAGGTGCATCAGGGCCCTTTGGTGATAAATAAGTGCTTTAACACGAAAAAAAAAAAAGCAAGCTTTGTGGAAATGTACAGCAACTACCATGTACTGAAAAACAGAGACAATTAGGTTTTACCTGTTATATTCTGATAAAGCCTGGGCAATTACAAGTCCCATTCCCTGAAAAAAAGCATTAAAAAAATCCTTACATTACAAATCTCAATGCAGTAAATCACACTGAACGCACATAGCAGTGCTGCCCCCCAAGATAACCTAGTATGCTATGAAGAATTTCCCCTGAAGCTGTTTGAGCTACTAAGACGTGCTATGATACAACAAAAATATCATCCAAAAATCAAGACATCAAAATTTAAAGATGAATATCGAATTACTGAGTTCAACAGAGAACATTTACTTTCCTTGGACCTCCAGACAGAGTTTAGTCATTCAAGACACCTCAATAAAGTAGCAAGAACTTCAGAAGGAAGCTGGTGTCAGAGGAAAGACATTCAAAAGTTCAAAACAAAAGCCATAAACACCAGTAACTTTTTCACTTCTCGCAAACAGCTTCCACCATTCCACAGCTACTGATCATCCTTTCTGTCGAGCTAATTTAACTCAGAATAATTGTTCTCATCCTTTAGTTAGCACAGAGCTCGCTTTTTATTTGATGCCTAAAGAACAGTTTCTAAGTCCAGACCTCAAATAGCTCAGTGTGCTGCCACTTAGTATCCAGGCCCAGATACAAAACTTAGGCAGTGGCTACAGCCCTAAGTATGTTGCATGACTCTTGACTCAGGTCCAAGCTTCCACTGAGCTACAAGAACTGACTTGTGGACTGGTAAAAATCAGATGACACAGCACTAGAAATGAGATCTTCTTTGGCATAAGCTATCTTGTGCCTCTTTTGCACGTGACAGCAAATAGTGCATAGATAGTTCATAAAAATACAATAGATCAACTTTAGCATGTTCCTTTCTACCCAGCTTTTTAACCACCCCCACCATTTAACTGGTGATCAAACTGTCCAAATCATGAGCTGCCTAACCTATTAACCTATTGCAAGAGTGCAGTTAGGGCAGAAAGTCACAATACTGGTGTACTTTACAGTAGCACTGCTCCTAGATCTTCTTTCTACCAGACACCACGATGGCACTAACACCACACACAAAAGAGCATTCCCAGCAGCACAAAGGAATCAAGTCAAATACTCACATTGAGCGTGGCCTCATCATCTACGATGGAGAGCTTCACGATGTAGGGATTCACTGACTGCTCAGGGTGGGGGAGAAGGAAGAAAGAAAATTGGGTTTAAGTTCAGCCTTCAGGAAAAAAACCACTTATCTTTCCATGTTTACTCAACCACCTAGGAAGGCTCTCTTTCCTGTCCCACAAAGCAGAATACACAAAGAAACTGTCAGAGCACCCGCTAAGGCTGCTATGCCTGGGACACCTTCTCTTTACTGGCTCAGTCAGCTAGTCCCCTGATTTTATTGAGAAGAGAGGGAGCTTCTGCTCCTCCGCTAGCTCATCTTTCAGTCTTGAAAACAGAGCAGCTGTCCTGCCAGCCTGTTATCTGTGATACACACACTGTTACGGAGTAGGAACAAGCAGTGAAGTTGGGACTGAACATTAGCGTTCTGATATCTCCCTTCTGCAACACCTTGGAAAGACTGCTTAGAGGAAGGAGGACCCAGGAAGGCATGACAATGTTATAGACTCCTCCGCTGCTGGGTTAGAGCTCAATGCTTAACAGTTTACACCACCGAGAGCTACAAGTCTCTGGAGAACGTAAATTGCTTGAACCTAGGTGAACCAAGCACACAGGCTCCAGCTATAAAGATAAGTCCTAATAATTTAGGATGCATTTTAGATTAGCAATATCCATTTGTTTTTTCTGGTTTATACATGTCAGTGCAAAACTAATGAAAGTTGATTTGGTACCAGGACAGAGGAAAAAAAAGGCTTTATTTGTGTAATAAATCCAAAGCGGACGAGAAGAATAAAACACAAAGCACACATCAGATGCAGCCCTACAAATAACAGTTACCTAACTTGTCCACAGCTTGACAGCAAGTTAAAAATAAGGCTGATCAGAAAACACCACTCACAATTATTTGATGCTTTCGGAGGATCAGGCTTTCTCTTTGGTTCAGAAAAGAAACTGATCAGAACAGACTAAAGCTCAGCCAGTCTGTCAGCCTGCCTCCAGCAGCACGCAGCCCTGTCTGCTGTCTCAGAAAAGGACAGAAAACTCACACAGAACCCATCTGTGCACAAAGCACGCAAAGACATTTCCTTCAGGCTGGAGTAGAGGCTCCTATTGAGTAACAATATATTGTCCTCTCTGCACAACCATGCTTCCCTTCAGAAATTAAATTTAGTCAGTGTCAGTAAAGCAGAAACAAGCTTCACAAATTCATAATTAAATGTAGATTAAAATCCATCCTTGTAAATGTCTTGATTTTGCTAATTTCAGTCATTCTCTTGCTCTCCTTATGCAGCAAGGAAAAACTCTCCACCCTCCAGCTCACGCACAGAAGAGAGGCCAGTCTGTGACTCATGACCAGTAAAAGTGATGGGGCTTTTCCAGGCCGTGCGCAGCAGGGCTATGCTGGATTAGAGGATGCAGGGTTATCCAAATTCCCAAATGCAGGGAATAAGTAAACTGGGAGATACTACACTGACCAACACCACCTGGCTGCCCTGAGATCGTCATACGCTCCATTCCATCACAGAAAGTGAGGGGGAGTGGGTTTGTCGTCATCTCCAGCCTACAAACAACTCTTCACACTTCCATTGCCCTTGACTTTCCAAGATGCATGCTCCATGTCTCCTGCCTCTTGGCAGCAAGATGTCATCAGTGCCCGGCTGACAGGGTCATGAAGCTGGCCTAGCTGGCTATAGATCTCCACACTCTGTGTTTTCAATTGTTATTTCCATATCTGCAGAAGTCTGTTTAATATTCCTGTCTGAAGTATTCCATTCCCTTGTCACATTTCATGTCTCCTCTAGGCTTCCCTAACTCCTTAAGCAGCAGGCAGATGACTAACTGGTGTAATCCACACACTGTATTACTCCATATGGGACAAGACAGTTTCTAGTGCCTTTCAGTGTGCAAGTCTGTACCAGTGTGATGAGAATATTTCCTGTGCTGCCCACAGGGCGTGCAGTTTGCTCCTGCCCCTCTCTGAGAGCCAAGAGTTCCAGTTCTTGTCTATGAGCATTAGTCTGCACATCTACAATGAATGTCAGCAACCTCCAAGTTGTACAAGCACCTCTAAGCCCACCCCATGCTCCCTGCCTGCTTGCCTATTCTAATCCTGCTGTTTCAGAGTTCAGCTCCCCTCTCACTGGGAATCACAGCAAAAGTTTTAAAAGTCTAAATTACGCCTGCCACTCCACAACATGCAGAAACATGCAACAGCCTTGAAAAGTTGCTGATAAGCATTTTGAAAACTTCAAAGCCTGTCAACGAAGTAATTACACAAACTTAGAAATAGCTTCAGCCTCCACCTGCCTCCAGAAAGAGCTCAAAAATATGATTCTCAGCTCTTCAGAGAACACAGGTCTTTTCCTATCACTGCCATTAGATAACAAACACTACAGCATTAAGGTGTTCTTGTCAGTAATGAGGTACAGACACAAACTCCTGGAACTCGGGAATACTCAAGGTGTCCTCCATGAATTACCCACTGTTAAGTGCCAACAATCTCAAAGAAATGAAGATGGAAGCTGTGGGGAGATCGCTACCAGGTAATTTTTAAAGCAATCCCCAGGTGACACATGCCATACAAAGTGAGTATTATATGAAGCAGCACACAGGTCTGGCAGAGGGAGTCAGATCTCCTCCATGACCCTCAAACGTACCTTTGCCTCCAACACAAATGGAGGGAACACTATGGGAAATAATTTTTTTGGTAGAAAAAGAAAGCAGAAAAACCAAACTAACCGTGCATAGTCCCTAGTTAGGTGCTCAACTTATCTTCACATCTGTAACTCAAACGAAGGCCAGTGTCCACTCAATTATCCCTTGCAAGACTTTTCCCTGAACACTCATTAGGGATGATTCAGCAGCTTTGCTGGCAGCCCTGATGAGACCATCTCCTCTGCAGGCAGGCCATCTTGCAGGGAATTGGAGCTTGAATAAATACTCTTTTTGTTAAAAAGATTCATTTAAAATAATGTGAGTTGTGTGAGATTGTGAAATTTAAAAAAAAAAAAAGGATTAATTTTCTGACTATTCAATGTTGATAAGTGTCCCTTCAGTACTTGCAGTAGACTGTATCAAGGAGAGGCAAGTCCACTTAACCAGACATGAAGGGTTGCCAGATACACTATATATGTATCCAGCAACCAGACAAGCACACAAAGGGAAAAACCCACGTGTTTTTACTAATTTATTTCAGCTCTGCCTAGCAAAAGACGTAATATGCAATTCTTGCAGGTTGAACATGAGGTAAAGAAATTTCCACCTAAAGGTTATCAAGGAATCTAACTGTTTAAAAGTCACTACCTGATTTTATGTTTTAACTTGCTATTCTAGCAGCCATCCCTCCCTCTCAGCATTTTCTCTGTTTGGCAGCCTTTTGTGTACACTTAGCTCCACTATTTTCCTGATATAGTCAATTATTTAGTTACTCTTTTCTGTTTCTCTCACATAGTATCAAGGTAGAAATATTTTCTCTGAAATTAGGACTACAATTAAAAAAAACAAAATATAGCTGAAGACTTGATTAAGTATATACTTGGAACAACTTTTGAAAATTATTAAGTTTCAGATCAGGGACATCTTTTTAAAGGTGCCATGTAAAGGCATATAAATACATTTACTCTTAGAATAAAGGTCAATGAGTAAGCCAAGATCTCAGCTACACTGGTAATGAAAACGTGGACTGGTATTCCCCAGGGAATTTGAGAGGTGCCTACAAACTTCACATCCCAAAAATCTGAAAGAACATCCTGATGCAAAACGCACTGGTATTCACATTAAAGGCAGACACAGAATCAGAGTCAATTAATGGATTTTCAGCTTAATTAGATTTTCTTAAGCAGCTGGAAACATGATTTAGCAACCAACCAAGTTCAGAACAAAAGAACCTACCAACTGCAGCACAGTGAACTAAAAAGGGAACTCCAAAGGATTTGAGGCATGGAAGTATGCTACAATGCACTGACAACCAGGAAACCACCACACTGACTGTAAGGGTCAAAGAATAGTAAATGAAAGCAGCTGCTCTACTCACAGACAAAGATTATGACTGCATTACTACAGGTTTTGCTTGTTGTGCTGCTTACAAAAGGCAGTGTCAGGCAGTTGTCATAGAAAGCCTTTCCTCAAGTTGCTTCCAACCTGGACAGATGAACTACTTAAGCTGAAATTCCCCTTGCTACACATCTGTCTCAGGTTGGACTGCACTTTTTAAACATCAGCACAATTTCTTTTCAGTGTCCAGTTTAAAGACATCTAGGACAATGTTTTCCAAAGCACTCCATACTCTACAGAAAGCTACTGCAAAGAGCAGAGGACAAGTCTTATGTAGTCACAGCACTCTACCTTACTAAGGACATAAACTATAGTACACAGCTCTCCACAGCTCAGCAATGGGACTACACAGCTCTCCACAGCTCAGCAATGGGACTACACAGCTCTCCACCCTTTGACCTGAATGTTGCAATGAGACCTCTGGTCTTTCCAGTCTGCCCTCACCAGTAACCCTACCCGTATCATTCCCAACAGTATTCCCTCTCAGCCATATACTGAAACTGAACTCCATGCTCCTGTTCCATGCTACCACGGCATAGACTGCTGAACAAAATCTGCAATTCATGATTCTGACAACATTCACAGGAATGAGAAATTAACAGGGATTACTTTGACACTAAGTGTACCTCCTGTCTTTGTCTCTTCTCCAGGTCTATTCATAATTCAAAACAAGATCTATTATAAAACCAGGCAGGTTTTGGAGCCTGCCCCCTCCAAGTAACTCTGTTGACAAAGGGGTATTCCAGCACTTTCCCATTTTTTCCCAATCTAAGTATATTAAGATATTCCTAATTATGGAAAAAAAAAATAAGATCATTAAAGCATCATGCATCATGCAAAGAAAACTCAACAGTAGGTGTTTTTTTGACATTTGAAATGTTTCTTTTTCAAGGAGATTAATAACAGGAAAAAAAAAAGGGAATACACCACAAAGTAGCACAACCAGTTTAGAAAAAGAAAGATGAATAAAGTTTCTCACAGAGGAATCAGTCAAAGAGATAGAGATAGACCTCTCTTGGAAATACTAGCTGTGATGTTTCAGTTCATTCTTTGGTCACAGCTTCACCATCTCTTCTGGGGATTCGTGCGCTTTCAGTCTGCTCATCAGGTTCTGAATCACAAATTCAGTCTGAAGCCCAAGATGACTGACAGCTCATTTTACTTTGGAGATTATGCATAACCACACGGTCACACACACAGAGGCAAACATGCAAGTTTGGCATAACAGTAATTCTTCCAGAAGGACCTTCCACAGAGTACTTTCATGAAGGAAACACAAATCCCTAGGTAGTTTCTTTCTCGCTTGCACAAAATGAGCTGTATGACTATCACACACATTTGATTATACCCATACGTCAGAGACAGACACAGTTTGCATAATATGACTGCCCTGCAAAACTTCTGTATCTCTGTGCTGATACCCTGATAAATGGTATAGCGTGTACTGCTAAAAACTGTAAAAAGTAGAGAGAAGTGATGTTTCTGCTATCCAGAAGAATACCTACTTCATACTTTCTGTAGTTGACCAGCAAGGCAAGAAGGACGACAGCATCATAGCCGTGTTCCCTGCGACTAAGCGGGCTGGACAGGATCTGGAATAAATAATCACACTGTTCTGTTCAGGCCTGCTTCAGGAAGCTTGCAGTGACTCTCAGACAGCACATGGCCACGAAATGGATGTGTAAGAGCAAATTATGTTCTAAGTGAAAGACGATATTTAAAGCTGAGGGAGTGTCAGTGCTTCCAAGAAGTTCTGCACACAGAGAAGCTTATTTACCACACAGAGGATGCATATAGGCTTTCTGGGCATAAAGGGCAAATACATTTCTCAACAGCACTACACAGTATCTCAGTGCATCACCAGCATTATCCATTCAAGTTTTCTGGGTTTCCCCAAGAAGTTCCACTTCTAAAAAGCATGATTTATCAAAGAGCAGAAAAAAATCTCAATATATCCAGACTGTCTTTTGAAAAAAGTTCCTGTGATACAGGAATTCTCTTTGAAATTAGCCCAGAAATCTGTTCAGTTTCTACCTATGCACGAACGTCTCAAGTAAAAATACTTCAAATACTCCGTAGTGACTAAAAACAGCAGACTAAAGTAAGGAGGAGACAGCATTAAAAACAAAAATTAGGAAAAAAAACACAACAAACTATGACTGAGCTATGAATGGAAGCAACACACAGTGCCAGTTATCTATGCTGCACTGAAAAAGCTGAAAAGCAAATACATCACTGAAAGCTCTCACTATGGAAGAAGAGCGTCTGCAGTAGAAGGAAGAACGCTTACCTGTAAAATAGCTTCGAATATGCTGTTAATCATCACATACTCCAGGATGGTGTTCTGGCTAATGTTATCTGTCACCTGAGTACAAACACAAGTTTTAAAGTCTCACCCGAAGCCTCTCGTGATGCTGTAGCTGCCTCTGGCACACACTGGGAACAGAAAAGTTCTACTACCAGATGGACACATTTATCCAGAATCTCACATTTAGTCAGCACGTCAAGGCGTGACTAGCAGTAGAGCTAGACATGAAGTAAAAGAAATCTGTCCTGTCTCCCACTCCTCTCTCCAGCAAGAAGTATGACCCACACACTAACAGCTTTCCCCTTCCTCTACAGATTGGTATTTTACACAGCTGCATGACAACAGCCAGAAGCAGGCTGCTACACAGAAGGCAGAGAACGAAAAAACAGGGCACACATTCTTCACTGAGCACTTTCCCCATCATGAACAGGGCAGTGAAGACCACCTCCACAGTCAATTGTCTCTTATTGCAGCCAAAATAGTTCACAATTGACCACCTCCAAGAGATGAGTGGCCCCATTTATTCCAACTTCTTCATTCTTCACATCCTCACCACTCGTCTAATCCACACTTCTAATTGTTCCTCAACCCCTCTTCTCTGCTTGCTTTCCATTTATCTGAGACTTCTTAAATATCTTTTTCCCTAAAAAAAAAAAACAACCACCCTCTGAATCCAATTGACACTTCCTCCTGTGTCCCCCCCCTTTTGCCCCAGTTGGCACCTATCTTATGAGGTGAAGACAGTCTGCTAGTCTGTAATGACATCAAGGTTAGAGCCACAATGCATATTCTGGGCTGACCCTTGTTCTCATTCACAATTTCTCTCTCCTTCTTAAACTTCATACTGCAGCATTCTGCTCAAGTTTTGAGACAGTTCCATCCCTAAAGATGTGGCTCATATACGACGAAGTAATTATACAGCTGGTACTTATTTACCGTCACCAAGCAGAGAAGTAGCTTCAGACACAAGCTTTTGAGGCTTTCAGAACCTTCTGCACAGAGGAGCGAGTCCAAGCTTTCCATCAGATTCTAAAGAAGAACAATCATATTATTTAAAAGTAATACTTTTAATAATTAATTAAAAGTAATACTAAAATTATTTTAAATGTTTGTTATAAAAAGCTTTCTGGGAGATTCAAATACAAGAGCACCAATATAAAGCCATGTTGAAATTCCGAAGTCAATAACTGAGCCGTTACTACTGTTACATTGGCCACATTCACACTATTGGTTCTCAGTGTTTTGTGTTAACTACATTTTAATGACTACAGGCATATCATCATGATCGTTTTCCAAGAGTTTTCTCCAGATGCATGAGAGGTTTTTGTACACATATAACAATAGATTCTAGTCACAAAGTAATTCTGAGCTCTACAAATATGATCTTCCTTTTCGCTTGCAAGACAGAATATTAGTGCTTTCTTTTTTTCAATACTCCATTTTACTTACAGACATCATGAGATTTTTTGTAAGCAGCACACCTCCAATTTAACAGTACATATATTGGTTATGATTAAAAATAGATACTATATAGCTATTTGACAGATATTCGTAAATAATTGTTTTCCAAATACTAAGTTACAGGTAACGCAGTTATTCTTAAAGGAAAAATGTAGTTCTGATAGTTAAGTTACACTTGATATTTTCCCCAAACGTTCTACTATTTGTAGAGAGATGAAAAATTACAACTTATTGTAGAGAGATGAAAGATACAACACAAATTCAGCATTATCACTGATTACTTTGTCATTTCCCAAAACTCAACATCTTTATAGTGAAGAGCATCAAATCAGTTTCAAACTCTACATGTGCTGATGGAAATATAAGAACGCAGGACACAATCATCAGCTAAAAATTAAGCATAAGGTATGAGGTACTAATGGCCCGTGACAGCCTTTTCTGGCCTTGAGATTTCTTAACCATAGCGACTGCACAGCATGGAACTAAAGGAAAAGAAAGAAAAGTGTGCTGTTACACTGCTAACAGACACAGGGACTCCAAATGTCTTTGTGTTACTGACAGGTAAAGAACTTCGGGACAGCTGGTTTTATTAAGTGGCTGGAATATTTCCCCCAAAAGCTGCACCTTGGTAGACACACCTGTCTACAAATCACTGCCCCTGCAACATGGCTGCTGTGCCAACTGTTTCTCTACATTGCCAGGGCCTCACCTTCATACATAGCTCTGCCTTATCAAAACCCACGAGCATGTTGATGATGTCAAACCCAGAAGTGGATTTGTTCTTCTGATGGACACCCCGAATCAATGCACACAGAGTCTGCAAAGGGAAAAAATCAGAGGGTAAGATGTAAGGCAACCCCTATAATCCAATAGCAAAATCTGCTCTAAGACCCTCTCCTAGCACTGGCAAAGTACAGGTATTTAAATGAATACCACCAGCCTAAAAGCCATACATTTTCTGACCTCTCCTCCACCTCTGGTTTCTAAGGAGGATCTTGGATGCTGAAAACTCAAAAAAAAAAAATTAGAGAAGAATATATTTGTCCACATTTTTTCTGTTTGTTCAGCTCTATTTCATAGCACTCTGAAGAAATGTAATCTTACTGCTTCTTTTATTCAGATCCCATTTGTACCAGACAGGACCATGATTTTTGGAAAATAGCTAAGCATGGCTTTAAGGCCAAAAATATCAATCAGGAAACTGCAAGGCAGAAGCAGTGTCCAATATACAGACAGACATACCTTAGAGCTTTCCAGATTAATTTCTTATTTCAAGCATGCCAAAACATACAGCATCCATACAACATATTTTATCACATTATGCCTGTCCTTACAACAGATGCTTTTGCTACAGAGAGCACAAATTTCTATTTGGTTACCACACTGCTATGCTAAGTCTGACCAAATTGTCTCTTTGCCAAAAAAAAAAAAAAAAAAAAAGAGGAAAAAGTGTCTCCAAGGCTATTAGGTATCTTAAGTCTTCCTAACTACCTCAAGGGCTCCAAGAACCTTCCCTCCAGAACACACAGAACACAACCTCCTTCACATTTCCTGTTGCAGGCACTGGATTACCAAGCTATTGGAGATCACTGGCAACATACAGGTATCAACACGCTATGCTTCCAGCAGACGCTCTGGAAGATTTATGGATAGCAAATGTCTCATTTGCCCTAAGAGGGGAAAACGTCTGTGGTGACTTTTGTCATCAGGCACCTTTCAGGTCTGTGAAGAGAGGAATC